TGCTTCATTGGGTGTTTAATGAAATCCACATAAAACTCGCGGGGGGGTGGGGGTGGGGGGCAACAATTGGCGGAGCGACTGTTCGGCATCCGCAGGAAGGCGTTGACGCTGCTTCCTCATACAGTGAAAGTTTAAACTATAACGAGGGGGCCGTTCGGGCATCCCCCTCTCATAAATGGCTAAGTCATCGCCAGATGTGCACCCATCATCTAGGAGGGGATGTTCGGTTCGGGGAGGTAAGGAAGAATCATCAGAACTTGATGATCGGGAAGAAAGGCCTTCTTGATGACTGGGGTGGGCCGTTTGCCTAGGACGACGTATTAGCTTGGGTGCCATTTCCTCAGAATCAGAAGAGCTAAGGAAACCAGACATAAAACCAAGGAAGAGACAAGTTTTTAGAGAGAGAAAGCTTAAGGGAAGAAGAAAGCTAAGGAAGCAGCAGAAAATCTAAAAGGAAGCAGTTGCGTCCTTATAAAGGAAAAATGCCGCCAAGAGCCCAAATCAATGGCTGACACGTGGCACAAAACGGTTGAAAGCAATAAAGGCATCCCGAACGGTCACCCAAACCAGAGATTGGCAACAAAAAGAAATTGAAACGGTCAAATGCACCGAAGGGAGAATGAAACCCAAAGCTATTCAAAGTACATAAGCTGTAGATCGACCACAACCAAAGATAAAGATACCCGATCGGCATCACAGGGGTGTTCCACATGATCAATATTGTTAGGAGAACGAACGCACTCTATATCCATGCTCAGTGACTGCTAGTTCCTTGCCTGAACAGGTATGGGAGTGTTCCCAAAATACCTATCATACCCGAAAGCCGAACAGGCACCAAGATGGAAATAGGGGATACAATTTCAAGACGAGGTCGAAAATCAGAGAAATGGCTAAGTCCTAAATACTAAGCTTAACCCTCGGATGCAATCTCGAACGAGGGGGAAAATCAGTGAAGCAACCAATTCTTAAGCATTGAGCTTAGACCCGACCCCTATGAAAGGAATTGGGAATTGCTAAGATCTGGACCCCGAACAGGCAGACCAATCATTTTAGTAGAACAAGATCACGGAAATAACTAAGTCCACAAGCAAAGCATTAAGAAGGAATTACAGTTCAGGTTGATAGGCGAAATTTCCACTTGTATTCATCGGCTCTACTGGCCGGAAGTTACAAAAAGTCAGATAATAGCAAAAAAGGGAAAGTACAGATAAACAATCAAATCTATTTCTACTGGTTGTCGGCATCCTCCTCGCCTTCATCATCATGTTGATCTTCCTCATAAGCAACCTTGCCAGACTCCATCCCCAGGGTTCGTCTGCGCTTGCCTAATTGGGCCTTTAGAACATTCAGGTGGCCGGTACCTAGATGAGGGAAGTCAGAAGGTTGCAGTGATCGGCCCAACAACTTCTCAAGAAGAGGAAGGATGGGCTGCAGCATGTGCTGTCATCCAGCAGAATAGACCTCCCGAGCGAGAGTTTCAGCCCACTCTTTTGCTGTGGGGTCCTGGTCGAGCATCCGGACACCCTCCTTTTGACGGGCCTCTTCGCTCAGTTGCCCCAAATGCCACCCAAAGACAGCGGGGATTTGCTCAAGGGCATATTCCTCCTTCAGAGCGACAAACTCCTCGGAGGCCTTAAGATCCTCCCGGATGAGGAAAGATCCACACTCACTTCGGGGGGACCGTTCGGGATTGGGGAAGGCTCCTCTTTGAATTTAATTTGTGCGGCCTCAGCAGTCGCAATCTTGGCCTGAAGGGTGGCCATCTGAACGCGCAGCTCCCCCAGCCCGACCTCAAGCTTCTTCCGCTCTTCAGCGAAGGAGAGGCATTCATCCTCGGCCGACTGCACAGCCTTAGAAATGGCCTGCTCAGCACTTTCTTTGGCCACCATCAAGTCACGTTCCTTGGACAACCGGGCCTCCCGCACCTGAAGGCTGTACAGCCCCATCTGGAGTGTTGGAGAATAGTCAGAAACATCACAAAGTTCAAGGAACATTATACAAATAGAAAGCTTAGGGAAGGAAAATACCTTGAGAGCAGCCTGGGCAAGGCATTCCTCTTTACGCTCAATGGGAAGTTGAGAGAGCGGAAGGTCATTGAAGAAAGCAGTAGTGGACCAGATCCGGGATGCCGTGGCTTCACTGCGCTCCAGAATGTCGTGGGCAGGATCTTCCAAACAAATCCGCTTGAAGTGCCCGTCCAGATCAGCCTGGTGGGCCTCTGCACTAGAACCCTGAATAGAGCTAAAGTGCCCAGAGAACTCTTGCAAATGCTCAGGACCAAACAAATTGTCCATAAGCATATCGCCCATGTTGAGCTGATCAGGGGCAGCTTCCTGAAAGGGTTGGACATCCTGAACAGGCATGGGTGGAGCGTCCTGAACGGGTTGAGATTGCTCTGCACCCTGTGAAACAACCTGAGAAGAGCTGGCCTGATCGGCCTTCCTCACTCTCTTTCTTTTCTTTCTCGACTCCTGAGCCGGTTGGGAGGCTTGTGGCTCCTCATCAACACCGACTGAGAACAACCTGCTGTCATCCATAACTTCTGGTTGGTGGTTGGCTCCTTCAGATTCCGAAGTGGCGTCTGGGTTGGGAGCTAAAAATAAAAAAGGAAAATGTTAGTACCGAGCGGCTTCAGCGTGTGTGAAACAAAACAGAGCGTTTCTCGCACGGGAAAGACCGCCCGAGCCTTGGCACTTGGGTTCAATCAAGTAGATCTAGGAATACGGGCAGTACCTATCCCGGCCTTTATAAGCCGATCGGAGGTCAGATAGGCCCTGATTTTGTAGCAACCGCCAGTCTCCACAGCAATGACATCTTTGCTGAGTTCCTCGGAGATGAACGGCTCGGGAGACTTCGGCGGGAACGCATTCCACTTCCTTGGGATCAGACCGTCCGGGACAGAGACAAAGAAGAATCGATCTTTCCAGCCTTTGATGGAGGAGGGGGCATCGGAAAATAAAATATGACCTGATCGGGCACTTACAACTAGATACCCATGGGCCTGCTGAGGAATTACTGTAAAGAAGTAGTGGAAGAGATCTAGGGTGGACATTACTTTAACATCTACACAGCGGCAGATGAAAGCGGCCATAGCCCGGTAGGAATTGGACATAATTTGGGCCGGCACTACATTGTAAAAATTAAATAAAGAAACGAAAAAGGGGTGGAGCGGGAATCTAAGGCCGGCCTTCACCGAGTCCAAATGGACTACCACCATCCTGGGGAAATGACGCATGGGGTGAAGCCCAGCTTGAAGACGGAAGTCCACCGGGTCAGGAATCAAGGTTGGAATGGAGGCCCTATTTGGGCGTGTGAGCTTTTTTCGCCGTAGCCGAATTAGGGTTAAATCAAGTTTGTGACGAGGAACATCGCCTGGAGGGCCAACCTCCATAGACTCAACCTCATCACCGGACCTAGTGCCATCCGAGTAAGTACGTGGGAAGGAGGCATCGCCGGGAACATGGCCTGAGTTTTCCGCATTATCTACAGCATCGCCTTGGACTTCTCCATGAGGAACCACCTCAGGAACAGAAGGATCGGAGGAGGATGATTGACGCGACATGTTACTGAACAAGAGGGGAGAAAAAATGAAGGGGTGAAGGATACCTGAACACTACCGATAACTAAGATCTAGAAAGAAGGCAGAGCTGCAGCACGAAGAACGTAAAATTTTGGAAACTCAGAACCAAAGAATGAAGGCCTTATTTATAAACTGACACGCCGGTTCGTCAACCAATCAGGAGAGGACACATCGACGAAAATGATTACAGGGACACGTGTCACGCAGAGAAACACCAACAAGTAATCATAACAAGTATCGGGAAATTGAAACGGCAGTCGCAGAAACCGTCAAAACTATGCCTCGGGATCTGGCAAAATCCCGTCCGTCACATGCCCGAGCAGCACTCGGGCAATATTCTTCTACTTCCTTATGCACTCACTACTGTTCGAGACGAAGTGAGGGACTCGTGTTGGGGTATTGGGCCCAAGCCCAATACACCCGACCCAAAGGGCAAACAGGAAACCCAACGCGATCGGCAAGCAGGCAGATACCTGTGTCTGCCTGAACAGTATTCAGGTAGATTTGTCCACTTGAGATAATCAAACAAAGTATGTACATCCAAACACTAGCAAAGGGGCCCCGCACGCCGAACACACTACCCGAACGGGTAGTCAGCAAGTGGGAGCCGCAGTTAATGCTGAATTATGACAATAGCATGTAGAGGCATGGGTGCAAAGGCGGCATAAGTGGCAACCAACCAGGTCCAACCACGTCATCATCCCACCTACTCCCTCTTAGTATAAATACCCGCATTGAATACACTGTAAAGGGTTAGCATTTTGATACTCAGAGCTTAGCAATAGAATTATCTCTTGTGTTGTATTTAAACTCACACTGACCTACCGTTCGAGCAGTTTCTTTGTAATCACAAGAATTACGTAATACATTTGGCCTCTAAGTAAGATCCTAAATTCACTATTTTATATTTCATATACCTTTCTAAACCAAGACCCAGATCCTTAAATATCCAAAGCGTGTGTTGGGCTTTCAGATCTACGGGACTAAACCTCAACAGGGCCTATAAAAAATGGGGCCGACCCTAGATGTAAGTGGGTACGGAGTAGTATTTCCAAATAACCTAGCTTGAAACTGTCCCAAAACTTACCCTCATTTTCACTCTATTCCTATCATTTTCTCAACACATAAAAATGGAGCCCAAGTGGTCAAGTGGATTTAGCAACCCATCTAAGATCATCTTTAATGGTATGTGGATACAATGCCGTTAAAACCCGACATCTCACATATGTGAAGAAATACACATACAAAAAGTGGTGTAGATCAACCCAAACGGGATTTAGCTGATTCGGTTGATTCAGCTAAAATTTAGAAAGTTCTAGCTAAAGTAGATGCATTGGCTGATTCTGCTGATTTAAGAAAAAATATATTTTATCAGTAAAATAAATAAAAATTTATATGTAAAAATAGTTAAAATGGTCATCTACAATAACTTCAGCCAATACAGCCAGAAAAGTAACTCCAACTTTACCTTTTTCTTATTATTACACAATTCAACGCGCGAAAGCAAAAGTTACGTGTTTGGTGAAAAAGTTGGCGAAAAATAGTGTTACCGCCTCTAAGTTCTCTTTCCAAATATCAACTATCAATCTTTAAAATCTACAATTTCACATCCAAAGGAAGAAAAAAGTGCTCATTTATCCCGGGACATCAAATAACATTCTAACTCCTTAACAAAAATTTACTCTTAGCCTCTTGCAGTTCTGAGTGTTTTCTTTATCTTTTCCTTTCCAATGCAGAGGTAAGCTAAGAATGATTTAGCTGGAGTCGGATTTGTCGCCCATGACGTCTTTCTTGATAGCCTTAGTAGTAGCCTTCACTTTCTCCCACGGCCCTTTCTCTTCCTCGCCCTCCACCGCTTTCTCTATAGCTTTCTCCGCTACCCTTTTCACTGCCTGCTAGTTATTTGCCATCACTTTTACATTAGTTTGACATGCCTTATACTCTTGAAGGGTACTGATACGGCCATATAAGATTTCAGAGAATCATGTTTCTTTCCAATTATATCCTTGATTAGTAAAAGTGTTATTTGAACCATTGAAAACATGAGGGTAAATGGGTTCTTAACCTTTTTATAACCCATTCCCAATTTTTTCAGAACAACGCAAAATGGTGCTATGTATAATGTATTAATGCAAAGTTTATATGCCAATAATTATTGCAGGAGATTGTACAACGTATCTTCGAGCCTTTCAAGCTTATAAGTATCACTCCTTCTAATTGGTTGGTCTTTTAGGAATGAGTTCTACACTTCTACACTCTAAGCTTAAGGGTATAGGCTATAGGCTTAAGGGTATAGGCAGGGGTGGAGACAGGGAGGGGCTGGCGGTGGCCACGGCCCCTGCAAGAAAAAAAAACTTTAGTATATATTATGTATAAATACTTTTAATCTGTAGAAAGTATGTTGATATTTTAAACTTTGGCCCCTGTAATGTAAAATTGTTAAGGATTGGCCCCTTTAACCCTAAATGTTTGGCTCCGCCACTGGGTATAGGCTAGGTTCGTGAGGAATGTTGGTTTATGGAAGTGGTGGCTTATGGAATGTTGGTTTGGCCCCTGAGGACGTTAGCTCTTCGAAATGGGGGTACTATAACGATCTCACACCGGTCGATAATGGGCTTAATCGGTGACCTATAAGCAAGGTGTTCCATCCTGCTAATCGGCTGGTCTTTTGATAACGGATTTATGGTATTGATATGGACTTAATATGGACTAGGTTCGTAACATCTTTAACTTTGAGAGATACTTCCAGATTTGGGATACTCTTCACGAGGTGGAGGAGGGGTTTTTTCCATTTTCGGTCCCTCGACTATTGTGTCAGTGACACTTTTGATATTCGACTTTTAATTTTTCCATTTTCAGTCCTCAACTATTGTGTTAAAGACACATTTAGTCCTCGACTTCAAAGTGTTTCACATTTAGTCCTTTGGTATTTCAAATTGACACTTTTAGTCCTACCACTATGATTTTGGCACAATATGTGAAAGACTAAAAATGTCGCTGTTATAATAGTTGAAGGACCAAAAGTGTCACTTTTGTGTAAGCCGAAGGACTATAAATGAAAATTTTCAAATAGGGGTACCAAAAGTGTCTCTAGTATAATAGTTGAGGACTAAAAGTGGAAAAAATCAAAGTCGAGTACCAAAAGTGTCAATGACATAATAGTCGAAGGACTAAAAGTGGAAACATGCATAAAGATGGAGAGAAAACATGCATGAACTAGCTCAAATAGCTAAGAAGGATACACAAGGAGTTCTTACATCTTGAATTGCCACCTCGGGGGCTCGGATTAGTATTATCTGTATTCTTTATAATTATTCTATCAAGGGAAAAGGTACAAATATACCCCTGTAGTATGGGTGTGGGAACAGATATACCCCTGTTCTATTTTAGGAACAAATATACTCTTGAACTTTTAAAAAGGTGTAAGAATATCTTTCATGTTCTTATAAAGGGGCAACTTAATACTTATTTACTTTAAATTAATAAAATAAATTTCAAGAAACACCAAATATAAATTATAAATTCGAAATTTAAAAACAAAAAATTTTAAAAATGTAATAGTGTCCAACTCTCCCTTTTATAGTTTTTATATCACAATTTAATCGTGTTTAAGTATGAAATATTATTTCAAAATTTTACTATATGTTTAAGATTCTTTCGAAAAGGTGCTAACATATGTTTTGCAATGTAGAGAAAAATTATTATTTTTGCATTCTTTGCACTATAAAATTACATATTTTGAAATTATATTTTATGTTAAAAATATTAAATTGTGATATAAAAACAATAAAAGGGAGAAATGGACACAATCACATTTTTAACTTTTTTTTTGTTTTTTTAATTTCGATTTATTAATTTATTTTTGGTCTTTTTTGAAATTTATCTTATTAATTTAAAGTGAATAATGATTAATTTGCTCTTTTATAAAAATGAGGGATATTTTTGCACCTTTTTAAAAGTTCAGAGGTACATTTATTCCGAAAAATAGAACAGGAGTATATTTGTTCCTCCACCTCTACTACAAGGTAGGGGTGGACAATTCGGTTTACGGTTCGGTTTTCTTCGGTTTCGATTCGGTTTCGGTTTATTCGGGTTGGGAGAATTTGTACCAAACTAAAACCATTTGTGTTTCAGTTTGGTTTCGGTTCAGTTCCGGTTCGGTTTGAAGTTCGGTTTACCAAAGTAAAAAATATTATGTTTAGTTTAGTTTGATTTGATTCGTTTGCTTATGTTTATTATTTTATTTGATCAAGTTCTATATTTCAGAATTAGAAAATGAAAGTAGTAGTCCATCTCATCTTTTTTAAATTTATTGATTATTTAAATTAAATGTAAAAGGAAATAAAAGATAGAAAAATAAATAATAAAATATTATAAATTGAAACTTCTAACATATTTTTTATCACTACAAAAAATTCACTTCTTACAAAAAATAAGATAGTTGATTAGCATTTATAATGTCACATAAAATATTCAAAAAAAAATAAAAGAGTCGGTGGTACAAATGTTGTAATATTCACAATTTTATTCAAATGAATCATGTAAAAATATAAATGCAATTTGCTATTGTTATCGCCAAACATAATAAATACAAATATGTCGTATTAGTTAACTTTGTCATAATGAATGTATGAAATGTGTAAAAGTTAAAATGATATGAGTATATGCTTAAATATGTATTTTAATTTTCATGTCTAAATTATTTATTTATATTTTAAAAATGAAGAGTGAAGATAAATACAAAGTGTATGTATATATATATATATATATTTATATATATATATATATATATATATACATAGTGTATGTATATATATATATAGAGTAGTCTTCCGGTCAGGTATACCTGACCGGAGTCCCGTCCGGCCTCCTCCATTTGGGGGCCTTCCCGATGGTATTTTTTGCTCCAATTTTTTGTGTAGTTTCGTCATCAAGTCTAGTTCATCCATACCAAATTTCAGCCAAAGATTCAATCGGGAAGGTCGTCAAATGATTTTCGCAAGTTAACTGGTCCGGAAAATACATATTCCGGACCAGTTAACTTGCAAAAATCATTTGACAACCTTCCCGATTGAATTTTGGGCTGAAATTTGGTATGGATGAACTAGACTTGATGAGGAACCTACACAAAAAATTTGAACAAAAAATACTACCGGGAAGATCCCCAAATGGAGGAGGCCGGACGGGGGGAGTGGTCCAGCCTGGCCGGACCTGAATAGTTGTGTGTATATATATATATATATATATATATATATATAGAGTAGTCTTCTTGTCCAGCCGGCCTGACGGGAACCGCCGTCCGGCCGAGGGCATTTCGGGTACTTCCCGATGGAATTTTTTGATGAAATTTTTTGAGCATGTTCTTCATGAAGTCTAGTTTATCCATACAAAATTTAAGCTCAAAATTCTATCGGGAAGGCATTCAAATAATTTTGTGAAGTTAACTGGGCAGTTTATATGTATGAACTGCCCAGTTAACTTCAAGAAATTATTTGAGTGCCTTCCCGATTGAATTTTTAGCTGAAATTTGGTATGGATAAACTAGACTTCATGAAGAACATGCTCAAAAAATTTCATCAAAAAATTCCACCGGGAAGTGCCCGAAATGCCCTCGGCCGGACGGCGGTTCCCGTCAGGCCGGCTGGACATGAAAAGTCCTCTCTCTCTCTCTATATATATATATATATATATATATATATATACTGTTTGGTGTTCGGTTTGATTTACGGTTTTTCCGTTTTAAACCAAACCAAACCAAAGTACCAAACCATTCGGTTTGAGCAAATGTTTCCCAAACAGTTTACTTAAGTAAACCCAAACCAAACCAAATCAAACCACCAATTTTAAAAATATATGAAAGTTTTTTTGAGTTTCATTAGTTCGGTTCGCTTTTGTTTGGTTTTTATCGGTTTCGGTTCGGTTCGATTTAATACGGTTTGAAAGAAATAGTACCGAACTCAAACCAAATTGCATACGGTCCGGTTTTGGTTCGGTTTAGTTCGGTTTGGTATGGTTCAGTTCGGTTAAACCAAACCGTTATGCCCACCCCTACTACAAGGGTATAAATGTACCTACCTTTTCCCTTCTATCAATAATATTCCTAAGAGAGCATGCAAAGTTAGTTTAATTTGAGAAAAGTCACTCCATTTTCTCTAAATCACGAGAGCACTCATTTCAATTTTCGACGATATATAATTTTTGAATCTAACCAGAGAATCACATTCATTTCAATTTCTCCAAAAAACTTGATTTCAATTTCAAATCAGACTAGACTTAAATAGACTGGATCACACCGAACCTTAATACTTGTAAAATACTAAAATGCACATATAATTGACATCTACCAGACAAAATTTAAACACACCGAACTAAACCAAATTTAAACAAACCGGATTATAATCAATTAGATTAATCAAATTAGACTAGTAAATCTCATCTCAATCCAATTAAAAACGTCAAATATATTCTAATTAATATATTACTTGGTTTAAATTGTTCTAGTATCATCTCTCTCAAATGGCGATCTCAAGCTATAGTGAAATTTAGAATTGATTCTTATGTGTTTTTGTACATACCGATCCAGCCCCGGAAGCAACAGCTTCTTTGACTTCTTGAACAACACCTTTGACCTCTTTGGCACCCTCTTTCACTGCTCCAGCTGCTTCTACCACTCTTTGACACGTCTCTTTATCCACCTTCGTCTGTTCATCAATTTCGATCATAAACAGTTTCACATGGCAGGAATGTTTGTAACTTACAGCAGAAATTAGAAAATGCCCAAATTCACAAAAGGCAAGCTGTCATGTAGAATGGAAAACGAATAGGAAAAAAAACACATTATATGTTGGGCCAAATTGTACACACGCTTCCAACAATTTTTTTTTTACTCCAAGTAGAGTCTGGGGAGGGGAGCGGGGAGGCCTGAAGTAATCTGGGTTGAAACTCACTCTATTGAGTTTCGAACCCAAAAATTCTCGTAAGGGAGAGTGAGTCGGTGATCACCTGGGCTGGACCGCTTCACATACAAACTTCGAACTATGTACTCAAAACTATTAACTTAGTATTTAAAATATTGTACTCCGTAAGTTTTAGTTTTAATTCTATTTTAATTTTAAAACTTTCAAATATTATACTCCTTAAGTTTTTAATTTTAATTTTTAGTATTAATCTAAAAAAATTGTGAAGAAAAATACCAAAAAATGGAATAAAACAAATACTCCCTCCGTCCCAGGGAGAAGTTCCCACTTTCCTTTTTTGGTAGTCCCAACAAAAAGTTCCCATTTCCTTAAATGGAAAGTTATCCTACATCAAAACAGTGTCAAACAGTGCCAAACAGTGTCGAAACAGTGCCAAACAGTGTCGAAACAGTGCCAAACAGTAACATTTACCCCTCAGTAACTTTATTTCCTAAATATGTGTGAAAGTCAACCCGGGAACTTCTCCCTGGGACGGAGGGAGTAGTAAATTAAGAAAATTAAGACTCATATAGGTCACAGCCCCACTATTGGAAGGGATAGGCATACGATAAAGTATTGTATTTCAAATTCAGTTCAGCCCATTAGTCGGCCATCCCATTATCAACCCCTACTACGTCGAGCATGGAGGCCCATTTATACACTATTTGTTAATTAATTCTTCACTAAATAGATAACCGGTAATATAAAATGATAAGATCCACCATATAGTTTTTTAGATAAGATCCTGATTGAATCTTAACAATAATTATAACTTTATTTATATTATTATTATTATTTCAAGGCCAAATTGAATAAAGACTAATGAGAGTTTAATAAGCATAGATAAGAAGAATTAGTGTGGTATTTGTGCGTCTCAAATAAAAAAAAAAGTACTTGAAAAAGCTCATAAAAGTTCAGTCCAGGCGTTTTAATTAATTTTTTTTATTGAATCCAGCTTGCCCTATTCCAATTTCCATACCCATTGGTTTTGGGCTAGTGTAGCCCTACCCAACCCGTTGACGATCCCTACATGCGAGCCATATATGGATAATTTTTATCTTTGAGACCTTGATTGATAATTAAAGTATCTTTGAGACCTTGATTGATAATTAAAGTATTTTGAAAATTCATAAATTCAAAGGTCTTAAGTACTTCACTAACAAAACTTGTGTAAAACGATTTCACAGGTGTCACTAGAGGAGTCTTTTTGCCCAACCATCACTCATCTTTCAATGTGGCTATGTGAGACTCTAGGACTCACTTTATTCTCGCATTTCTAAATCAAGATAGGAGAAATGTGTCTCTGTTGGTTAATGTGAGTTTCTTATGATCTACTACCACTAAAGCTCTAAGCATGATCATCATAAAAGATGTACTGATTGTACTTCATAATTCGTAGAGCTAAATGTTTGTTGGGATAAATTTCAAATAGGAGAGACTCCCAAATCATTTGTGGAGCTCTGGACTTCTGGGTCACACTAATCGATATTGCCCATACACTAATCGATATTGCCCATGGGGTCGTGGGTGGGCGACAAGCCTTATGGCCCCTCGATGCAGGCAGATTAGCGTTGGGGAGGATCACCCGGGAAATAAGTGGGAGGAAAAGGAAAAGTGGGAGGAAGAGGAGCACAACCAAGTCAGGGTTGTCCAAGAAAGGGAATCTAGATAGCGCAGGGCAGTGGATTTGTAGAAGGTGGTGGAAGTTGAAGTTACTAGATCAACACCGCCTGGAATTTCATTAATTGTCTGGTCAATTCGGAATGATATCTTTTTTGGAGAAGGTTGATCAAACTTCTCCCTTGTTGGCGGAAAAAATCATGAAATTTGATTCTATTTGTTCTTTCCGATTTAATAGCTCTAGTTTTTTATCCATTTATTTTAGTAGTAAGTACAACGATGCTGTTAGATTAACCTACCATGATGCGGAGTTAGCAAACTTGTCGGGTCCTCGTAGGCTGGTCAGTTCTATGTCTGACCCATGGTATTTGTTTTGTTTCTTGTAACTTCCATTATTATTAATAAATAAGTTTTCTTCTTTAAAAAAAAATGCTTTCAAGATTCCTTACAAAGATCTTTTTGGATATCCATTATTCCAATAGTTTCGTCCTTTCATTGATTTAAATAAAAATGTTGATACTGAAATAGTCCTTTGTAACTAGAACTCCAAGAACTTATAAAAATCCAGCAAAAATTAAGATTTGAATTAAAAATTTAAAAAACTGCAATTAAAATATATCTGAAAGTTTACAGGATAAGAAAGAATTTCATTAAAATCTAAATAGTGTTTTGAAAATTAAAATGATAACTAAAATATAGAGAAAAAGAATATATAGGACATTATTTATGGAAATTAGTTTGTGGTCCCCAGCCTTTCCTCTAAATTTGAAATCCAATCTATTTTTAAAATTATTGGTATTTACATCTCATAGAATAATGCATTGTGCATCCTAAACTGCTAAACACTAAAATTTGCATCCCATGAATTCTTTTAAATTGAAATTTTCACCTCACTTTTAGAATATTTTTAAAAGTGGGGAAAACTAATTATAGTAATTTAGTGAGAGTGAAGATCTTTTTAAAATGGAAATGATTTCAATTTTAGACCAGACTCAAACATATACATCAGACTAGATTAAATCAGATAAGACCAACTAGATTAAGGGTGATCATATTGGTTTTCTATTTAGTTCTTATCGATTTCGATTCAGTTTGGTTTCAAATAGATTTAAAGAATTTATATTAACATACAAAAATCATAACATTTTTGGTTTGGTTTGATTTAGTTCGATTTGAATTTGCTATTTCTTAATAATGTACGAAAGTTTTATTGAATTTCTTTAATCCAATTATGTTTTATTATGTTTTTTCGGTTTCGATTCAATTCAATTGAATACGATTTGAGAAAATACTATCAAATTTCAATCAAATTGAGTATCATTCAGATTTGGTTTGATTTGATTCGGTTTAGTATGATTCAATGATTAAACAATAAAAGTACATACACGAACAAATGATTAAGCCAAAAAATAAAAAATATCCTAAATCAAACGAAGTAAAAGCACATATGCTGTACAGAACACAAACTACCGAAAAGATCGACGTCGAGCGACCAAATTATGACAGCAAGGGGAAAACCGGAATTGAAACACAAAAAAAAGCAACGCCTTGAGAAATTGATAATCGTGAATTGAAAAAACAAAGGCAAAAATTACTCACTTTTTGTGAAGGCCTTGTAGATGAAACGAAACCTCTGTAAATCCAGGAAGTATGTGGAACCATGGCTGTTGAAGAAGAAATGCATTTCAACAGCAAACTGTCTGCAAGTTTCAAATTGCCCATCATGTCTGACCGAATCGGACCTTCTTCTTATTTGTTTTGTTGTATTTTGGCATAAATAAATTTTCTCTTGTTTATGATTATGATTGTTTATAGGGGACCCTTGTTTATATGTCCTGAATCAAGAGCAGTTATTTGAGGTAAAAGCACTGCCGAATGCTCGAACACGTGTTGGCTTCTGAGTATATTCTGTGGAAAACTCGCAACCGTCTCAAATGTTTTGGATATACGAACTTACCAACTATGGAGTAATTTTTACTGCCGTCTAACTAAATTAAAATTGTATCATGTCAAATTCGATAAAATTAATTTAATTTAAAATTGATGAAGTATATTGTCCTAAAGTCTGGTTCCAAAAATATAATCTTCCCATTAGAAATGCGAACGTTTCCGCTTTTGATTATCTGAAGTTACACTATTAATTAGTCTAGTCACTTTGATGATTTTCAATATTTTCATCATCCACGGAACATTTTGCACACAATGATTCACTTTTGCAACGAAAGGAAACCTTGATTTATTTACATAAATGTCACTATGCATCAGATTTATTCATACTTCTCATGTGAAGGAAACTTTTTATTTGATCCAAAATGTACTGTGATATACTTCAGGGGTATCAACGTTACATTAATGAAATTCAAGAATTTACTACGGCAAGTCCGGCTGAGGCCATGCTAAATAACGTTTCCCATATCACTAAGATAAAACCAATGGACCGAAATTGTAGCCTCGGATGACCCTCGGCCGAGTTTAATGACATTTTCCGCACTACGGTCGAGGCCAAGGCCAAATCTGATGTCATGTACTCGAGATCAACAAAGAAATCCTCACTTAAGCCGGGCGAGGTTTTTCATCATTGAGTCAAGCACTCATATCCGAGCTAGAGATCTCTACACTTACGCTGAGTTGAGCTTTAGGCCTCTAATGGACATCATGAGTTTGGATGTTTTAGCACTAGCACTCCCACACAACATTATGGTTATGTCATACGTCGATAGCTATCTTTAGGACTAACGTCACTTGGGCGGTTGCAGCAGCCAGCTATCGGGCTAACACACATGTGACTTCTCGAGCCATTTTGTTACACGAAGGACAAAAGCTATTAAAACAGTACCAATCAGCCAATCAATCGGAATATTATCTCACCAATTAGCTAGCCTTGCACGTGACATTAGATTATTAGATCATGTATTTTTACTCATTCATAACTACTAGGTGAAAAAAATTATATTATTATATTTGCTTCCAAATTAATCCAGGATAATGTGCACTCGCATAGATATAAATATTTCATATGTTATAAATACAAGTCGCAATCTTAATTTAATTACATGAAGTAAAGAAAGACGTGAGGGGTCTTTTATAACAGACAAGGAAAGTGAAGTGAATTGGACTCATGTAAGAATGGCTAAAATGTTCTTGTTTGATTAAGTCAATCATTTGTTTTCTATAGATTATTTCTTATTTTACTTTAAATTTAGGAATTAAATCCCTAAATTCTTCACGAATATTAAGTGTTTATTAATATACATAAGTCAACTATTTACTTTGTTCCAAAAGAAAAATGTAGAAATATAGAACATACTTTGAATTGTGTTAAGGCAATGGTTTACTTTCTTCTACAAGACCTAGTTTATTAGCTTGTTTTATTCTTTCAGCTTGTTTTGAAGTTGTTTCTACTTCTATTATCTATTTTTACCACTATTTTTTAATTTATGAGTGCACTATATATTAGTTTTTTTTAAATAAAATAGTGGCTTTTATATTAATATCAAGAAACGTACAAGACAACCTTCACATAGTTACAACAGATCCAATCGCAAGCTGTAGAAATACACATATAATCAGTCACCTCATACAAAACAATCTGACTCACTAGACAGGAAACAGACAATTTTAAGCCTAATCTGACGTCATGTACTCGAGATCAACAAAGAAAACCTCACTTAAGCCGCACGAGGTTTTTTTTATCTTTGAGCTAAGCATTCATATGCAAGCTACAGATCTCTACACTTACGTAGAGTTGAGCTTTAGGCCTCATACAGAAAATAGTGAAGAAAAGTAGGAAAAAATGTCATGGTAATAAAAGAAGATCTCATTGTCACACGTAATAAAATGTGATAACAACAGTTAAGTATGTATTCAAATCATAGATTCTGAGATACTTATTTATGTAAATTGATGTATCCACCACTAGAATCAGTCACCTCATAGAAAACAATCTGACTCGCTAGACATGAAACATACAATTTTACTCGAGATCAACCAAGAAAACCTCACTTATGTCGCGCGAGGTTTTTTATCTTTGAGCTAAACACTCATATCCGAGCTAGATATCTCTACACTTACGGTGAGTTGAGCTTTAGGCCTCAGATGGACATCCTGGGCTTGGATGTTTCAACACTAGCACTTCCACACAACACTATGGTTATGTCATACGTCGATAGCAGTCTTTAGGACTAACGTCACTTGGACAGTTGTTGTGACACCGCACCCGGATGTACTTGAATTTGAAATTTAATATGCATTTGAATTTTTCCTAGCGAATAAAACCGTGTAACGGGTTGCCGTGTTTAATTAATGAGCGATTAATTAAATTTTTATCGGGCCCATAATAATGCGAATGGGCTACCAAATATTGAGTTGGGATATCGTAATAATTTTAGAAGTCCAATAAAGTGCCAACCGATGTTGACAAAAATATTTGGACAACCTGAGTACTATTTTGACCCAACCGGCCAGAAATAGCAATAATAATCGGGAGAAACTTCACACACCCACTTGGGGATTTTCCTACATGATTTGTGGTCTCTAAATAATGAAGTGGAGACAAGAGGAGGTGGCAAATTCGGACTTATGGAGGAGGGAGTGATTGGAGACACAATCACACTCCCTATGTCCTATCTACACCTCAAAATGAGGCATTAGTTGAGGATAGAAATCCCCCTCTCATTTTGAGCCATACGAGCAGACCAAAGGGAAGAGAGAGCTCTAGGCAACACCACTCACAAGGCTCAAGCTTGAAGGAAGCAAGAAGAGGGGAAATCCAAGAAGAAAAAGGTGGTGTTTGAGGTAAGAACTCAACAATCATCCTTTAACTAGTATTTATCGAGTATGATTTTTAAGAAATCATTGGGTGGATTAAACATGAGTTTATACACGTTTAAAAGTGTATAATATTGACATAAAGTGGTGGTAATTAACTTAGAAGAATTGGGGAATCGATAGGAGCCAAAACCATCGGAAACCGCCACTTGAAGGAGGCTGTTCGTAGCTGCAGACCACGAAAGCCGCCCGGCTTTTGTGAAAGCCGCCCGGCTTTTGGCTGCTGTCCAGAAATTTCATCTCCAATCGGTTTGGAACGGGGATTGATCGAAGGGCTTAACAAAGGCAACCACTTCAGCACTTCATAAGGTGAGGATGGCTGACTATGTTGTTTATAATCTTTGGGTTAATTTCATAAGATTACCTAAAGTATTTAAATGTGATTTTCATGGATTATTAATGAGTAATAATGCCTAAATGAAAATACAATTGCTTATGAGTAATTGAAGTATTATATGCGAATTGCGAAGGAAGTGCGTATGGATACGTGATTATGAATATGATGGAATGATAGTTGAGTGAACTAAGAATATGGAGATAAAATATACTTTGCGTCATGTAGAGAATTCATGAATGGGTAAAAGTGATATTTTGATATTGGGAAGTAATTATATTTGAATTGGAAGATAAATTGAAATACACTATGTGTCTATGGGTTAAGAACTTGGTTGTTCAAAATTTATTCAACTAGTATTGAAATACTAGCCGAGATGTTAATATGAGAAACAATAGATTAATCCAATGAGTTGGGTTGTGAGGAAATTATACCTTGAGTAGTCCTAAGAGATACTTTAAGGTCGAGACGTGTAAGCTCTAAGTATAATAGGAGTAGGCCCTAAAGGCTACTCAATCTAAACCGATTCTAGGCATAGGAATTGCTTAGGGATTGATTAACGCGACTACGAGCGGGGCTCTAGCATGTTGAAATGATGACTAAGAGCGGGGCTCTAGCATGTAGGGATGGTGACTAAGAGCGGGGCTCTAGCATAATGTAGATGGACTAAGAGCGGGGCTCTAGCCAATGTGAGTTAACTAAGAGCGGGGCTCTAGTATACTGTAGATGGACTAAGAGCGGGGCTCTAGCCAATGTAAATTAACTAAGAGCGGGGCTCTAGTATGATGTAAACGGACTAAGAGCGGGGCTCTATCCAATGTAGACAAATTAGGAGCGGGGCTCTAGTATGATGTAGGGAGACTAGGAGCAAGGCTCTAGCACGATGTAGGGAGACTAAGAGCATGGCTCTAGCATGATCCAATAGTATAACCGGGCGAGGCTCGGTGATGTTTATGCCATGTAATAGGGAAATGCCCAAATGACTATGAGTACATTTACCAGAGGTTTATGACATTCGTGACAAATAGTCACGGGGGAAAAGGGGGATGGACTTACAAAATGCATACGGGTCTTCGGGCCGACTACTTGACTTTATATAAAGTAAGTATATTTTCAAAGAGGGTAACCACGGGTTACGACCTATATTTTTATATCACCCTATTTGAGGGTCTTGGAAATTGAAACATTGATTATACTTAGTATAGTTGTCATTGTACTTGTCAAATGCTTCCAAGTACTGACCTCCCCTTCACGGGGGAGGCCACCTCACAGTTTCAGGTAGGAGTTGAGCTTGCTACCGGTGCCCGTTGTTTCGGGAAGATTCAGGAGGGAAGACGTGGTTCGTGCTTCCTCCGCCTCTGTTTTTTTTTTTAACATTTAAAATCGATGCTCATGGATATTATTTTGAATAATTATTTGGGGCTTGTATGCCCATGTTTGCCGAAGTGTGGCGTAAACACTTGTATTAAACGTTTCCGCTGATTTAAATGATTATTTTACATTATGTTTGTTTATGGATGTACTATTGTGAATGATATTCAAGACGCCTAGTATAGTATGGATGAGTTGGACTGCGGTTGACTATTCGTACTGTACGGCGGGTTGTTGACGTGTCCGGTAGGTCCGGGGCGTGACAATTAAGTTGGTATCAGAGC